CTTGTTACATGGCAGAAAGAAAAAGGACTGGACGAGATGGCTTTGGGAGGTCTCTTCCAACTCAAAAACATTATTATTATTATTATTATTATTATTATTATTATGAGGCTGGATGTCCATCTGTCAGGAGGGCTTGGATGGTGTCTTGTTACATGGCAGAAAGCAAAAGGACTGGACTAGATGGCTTTGGGAGGTCTCTTCCAACTCAAAAACATTATTATTATTATTATTATTATTATTATTATTATGAGGCTGGATGGCCATCTGTCAGGAGAGCTTGGATGGTGTCTTGTTACATGGCAGAAAGAAAAAGGACTGGACGAGATGGCTTTGGGAGGTCTCTTCCAACTCAAAATCATTATTATTATTATTATTATTATTATTATTATGACGCTGGATGGCCATCTGTCAGGAGGGCTTGGATGGTGTCTTGTTACATGGCAGAAAGAAAAAGGACTGGACTAGATGGCTTTGGGAGGTCTCTTCCAACTCAAAAACATTATTATTATTATTATTATTATTGTTATTATGAGGCTGGATGGCCATCTGTCAGGAGGGCTTGGATGGTGTCTTGTTACATGGCAGAAAGAAAAAGGACTGGACGAGATGGCTTTGGGAGGTCTCTTCCAACTCAAAATCATTATTATTATTATTATTATTATTATTATTATTATGACGCTGGATGGCCATCTGTCAGGAGGGCTTGGATGGTGTCTTGTTACATGGCAGAAAGAAAAAGGACTGGACTAGATGGCTTTGGGAGGTCTCTTCCAACTCAAAAATTATTATTATTATTATTATTATTATTATTATTATTATTATTATGAGGCTGGATGGCCATCTGTCAGGAGAGCTTGGATGGTGTCCTGCCTGGTGGAAAGAAAGGGGCTGGGCTGGATGGCCTTTGGAGGGCTCTCCCAATTCTAGCATTCTATGGAAGCCTTATTTATTATTATTATTATTATTATTATTATTATTATTATTATTAGAAACACAACAAGGTAAGTACACAGCAAATAAGATCACTATGCTGATTGTCGTATAATAATAATAATAATAATAATAATAATAATAATAATAATAATAATTGCTATTAAGTAGAGGCTGCGTGGCCATCTGTTCAGAGGGCTTGGATGGTGTCCTGCTTGGCAGAAAGAAGGGGGCTGGGCTGGATGGCCTTTGGGGGACCCTTCCAACTCTAGGATATTATTATTATTATTATTATTATTAGTATTATTATTATTATTAACACAACAAGATTAGTACACAGCAAACAAGATCACTATGCTGGTTGTCGTATTATTATTATTATTATTGCTATTGCTGTTGAGTAGAGGCTGGGTGGCCATCTGTTGAGAGGGCTTGGATGGTGTCCTCCTGCTTGGCAGAAAGAAGGGGGCTGGACTAGATGGCCTTTGGGGGTCCCAACTCTAGGACTATGCTACTATTACTATTATTATTATTACTATTATTATTATTATCTGAAACACAACAAGTACACAGCAAACAAGATCACTATGCTGGTTGTCGGATTATTATTATTATTATTATTATTGCTATTAAGTAGAGGCGGGTGGCCATCTGGTTTGAGGGCTTGGATGGTGTCCTCCTGCTTGGCAGAAAGAAGGGGGCTGGACTAGATGGCCTTTGGGGGACCCTTCCAACTCTAGGACTATATTATTATTATTATTATTATTATTAGAAACACAACAAGATTAGTACACAGCAAACAAGATCATTATGCTGGTTGTCGTAATATTATAATAATTATTATTATTGCTATTAAGTAGAAGCTGTGTGGCTATCTGTTCAGAAGGCTTGGATGGTGTCCTCCTTCTTGGGGGCTGGACTAGATGGCCTTTGGGTGCCCCTCCCAACTCAGTGAGTCCTTTGCCTGGCCAAGACCTATTTGGCTTCCTGAAGAATTAATTAAGGAGAGCGGTGGCTGCTGCCTCCCCGGTTTGGCAACATACTCCTCCTGCGGGCCCTGAGCTGGCACACGCATGCACATGCATGCACACGCGCGCCAAGGGCATGGCCTGCTCAGCGCAGCCCCCTCCCCATCATCCCCGCAAACAGGCCCATCTGTCTCTCCTTCCACCTGAGTCACTGCGGCTGGGCTCCCAAAGCCCTTCGCATCCTCATCACCTGCAGGTTTGTAATCAGAGGCTGCGGCATGCTGGCCCTCTGCCAAGAGGGGTCGGCTGGTGCTTTTCCAGATAGCCTTTGGGGGTCCCTTCCAATTCTATCATCCCATTCCTCCCACAGGAAAATGAGAAGGAGAGGGGTTAGGACAGGTGTGGGCCAACTTGGGCTCTCCCCGCCAGGTGTTTTGGACTCCAACTCCCATCATTCCTAACAATAATCCTAATAATCAAATAATAAAAAGGGTGCAAATGATAAGTATTAATATAATAATAAATTATAGAATAATTAAAGGATGCAAATGATAAATATAATAATACTAATATATAACAATGATAGAATAATAAAAAGATGCAAATGGTGAATATTAATATAACAATAATAGATTATATTAGAATAAAAGGGTGCAAATGATGAATATTAATATTGTAGAATAGAATAAAAGGATGTAAATGATGAATATTAATGTAATATATAATAATATAATAATAAAGGGTACAAATGATGGATAATAATATATAATAAAATAAAAGGAATCAAATGCTGAATAGTATTATAACAATAATATATTATATTAGAATAATAAAAGGGTGCAAATTATGAATATTAATATAATAAAATATATAATAATAGAATAAAAGGATGCAAATGATGAATATTAATATAATATATAATAATATAATAATAAAAAGGGTATATAATAATATAATAATAAAAAGGGTGCAAATGATGAATAATAATATATAATAATAGAATAAAAGGATGCAACTGATTAATATTAATATAATAATAATACAGAATAATAAAAGGGTGTAAATGATGTATATTAATATAATATATAATAATAATTTAATAATAAAAGGGTGCAATTATTAATAATATATAATAAAAGAATAATAAAATGATGCAAATGATAAATATTAATATAATAATATAGAATAATAAATATAAATATATTATATTAGAATAATAGAATAATAAATATAACAATAATATATTATATTAGAATAATAAAAGGGTGCAAATGATGAATATTAATATAATAGAACATATAATAATAGAATAATAAAAGGATGCAAATGATAAATATTAATATAATATAATATATAATAATTTAATAATAAGAGGGTGCAAATTATGAATAATATATAATAATAGAACAATAAAAGGATGCAAATGATGAATATTAATATAATAATAATATAGAATAATAAATATAACAATAATATATTATATTAGAATAATAAAAGGGTGCAAATGATGAATATTAATATAATAGAACATATAATAATAGAATAATAAAAGGATGCAAATGATAAATATTAATATAATATATAATAATTTAATAATAAGAGGGTGCAAATTATGAATAATATATAATAATAGAACAATAAAATGATGCAAATGATAAATATTAATATAATAATATAGAATAATAATTATAACAATAATATATTATATTAGAATAATAAAAGGGTGCAAATGATGAATATTAATATAATAGAACATATAACAATAGAATAATAAAAGGATGCAAATGATAAATATTAATATAATATAATATATAATAATTTAATAATAAGAGGGTGCAAATTATGAATAATATATAATAATAGAACAATAAAAGGATGCAAATGATGAATATTAATATAATAATAATATAGAATAATAAATATAACAATAATATATTATATTAGAATAATAAAAGGGTGCAAATGATGAATATTAATATAATAATATAGAATAATAAATATAACAATAATATATTATATTAGAATAATAAAAGGGTGCAAATGATGAATATTAATATAATAGAACATATAATAATAGAATAATAAAAGGATGCAAATGATAAATATTAATATAATAATATAGAATAAAAGGGTGCAAATGATGAATAATAATATATAATAATAGAACAATAAAAGGGTGCAAATGATGAATATTAATATAATAATAGAATATATAAAAATAGAATAATAAAAGGGTGCAAATTATTAATATTAATATAATATACTATATATTAATTTAATAATAAAAGGGTGCAATTGATGAGTAATAATATATAATAATAGAATAAAAGGATGCAAATTATTAATATTAATATAATAATAGAATATATAAAAATAGAATAATAAAAGGGTGCAAATTATTAATATTAATATAATATACTATATATTAATTTAATAATAAAAGGGTGCAATTGATGAATAATAATATATAATAATAGAATAAAAGGGTGCAAATGATGAATATTAATATAATAATAGAATATATAAAAATAGAATAATAAAAGGGTGCAAATTATTAATATTAATATAATATACTATATATTAATTTAATAATAAAAGGGTGCAATTGATGAGTAATAATATATAATAATAGAATAAAAGGATGCAAATTATTAATATTAATATAATATATATTAATTTAATAATAAAAGGGTGCAAATGATGAATAATATATAATAATAGAACAATAAAAGGATGCAAATGATTAATATAATAATAATAATATAGAATAATGAAAGGGTGCAAAGGATGGATATTAATATAGCAATAATAATAATAATAATAATAATAATAAGAGGCTGGTGTTGGTGTAGAGGAGTTCTCATTCTGGTTGCATTCTCTTGCTTGCAATGTAAACAAACATCTCTGAGCATTGCCTTTGCAGTGGAAGGCCAGGTCTGCCTTGACAGAGACACACAATGGCTCTCCTTGCAGAAGCCATATAGATCTCTCTCTCTATCTCTTGCAAAGGGAAAGCAAGGCACCCAACCGGCAATGCAAGCCCCCTCCCCAAAAAGGACCCGCATAATCCGCATTAATGCCCAGCCAGAGGACCAGACTCACCCCGCCAGCGCCTCTCCTGCCTTCCTCCTCTTCCTCAGTGACGTCACGTGGGAGAGAGGGGAGGAAGGAAGAAGGGGGCGGGGCTCCCCGGGAATTCTCTCGGGGGCGGGGCCTCCGAGGCGCTGACGTCACGGGCTCACTCCTCCAGTTGGGAGGGGCTCCTAGGGATTAGGAAATGGCATTCCCAACCAGGTGGAGATCATTCACCTTTTGCAATGGTGGATAATCATGAACCACTGCACTGCATCCTGTCAGGTCCCCAAAATCTGGAGGAAAGCAAGAGTCATGGCCATCTTGAAGCCAGGCAAAGACTGCAATGACCCAAAAAGCTACAGACCAATCTCCCTGTTGTTGTGCCACCTCTACAAAGTTCTGGAGAGGCTTATTTTGCATGTTGTTGTTGTTCACTCGTTCAGTCGTCTCCGACTCTTCGTGACCTCATGGACCAGCCCACGCCAGAACTCCCTGTTGGCCGTCACCACCCCCAGCTCCTTCAAGGTCAGTCCAGTCACTTCAAGGATGCCATCCATCCATCTTGCCCTTGGTCGGCCCCTCTTCCTTTTGCCTTCCACTTTCCCCAGCATAATTGTCTTCTCTAGGTGACCTCATGCACCAGCCCACACCAGAGCTCCTTGTCGGCCGTCACCACCCCCAGCTCCTTCAAGGTCAGTCCAGTCACTTCAAGGATGCCATCCATCCATCTTGCCCTTGGTCGGCCCCTCTTCCTTTTGCCTTCCACTTTCCCCAGCATAATTGTCTTCTCTAGGTGACCTCATGCACCAGCCCACGCCAGAGCTCCTTGTCGGCCGTCACCACTCCCAACTCCTTGAAGGTCAGTCCAGTCACTTCAAGGATGCCATCCATCCATCTTGCCCTTGGTCGGCCCCTCTTCCTTTTGCCTTCCACTTTCCCCAGCATAATTGTCTTCTCTAGGTGACCTCATGCACCAGCCCACGCCAGAGCTCCTTGTCGGCCGTCACCACTCCCAACTCCTTCAAGGTCAGTCCAGTCACTTCAAGGATGCCATCCATCCATCTTGCCCTTGGTCGGCCCCTCTTCCTTTTGCCTTCCACTTTCCCCAGCATAATTGTCTTCTCTAGGTGACCTCATGCACCAGCCCACGCCAGAGCTCCTTGTCGGCCGTCACCACCCCCAGCTCCTTCAAGGTCAGTCCAGTCACTTCAAGGATGCCATCCATCCATCTTGCCCTTGGTCGGCCCCTCTTCCTTTTGCCTTCCACTTTCCCCAGCATCATTCCCTTCTCTAGGCTTTGCTGTCTCCTCAGGATGTGGCCAAAGGACTTCTGCTTTCCCTCTCGTCTCCTTCCCTCCAGTGAGCAGTCGGGCTTTCTTTCCTGGAGGATGGACTGGTTGGGTTTTCTCGCAGTCCAAGGCACTCTCAGCACTTTCCTCCAGCACCACATTTCCAAAGCATCTCTCTTCCTTCGCTCGGCCTTCCCGAAGGTCCAGCTCTCACCTCCGTAGGTGACTACAGGGAATACCATGGCTTGGACTAGGCAATGGATCTTTGTTGCCAGTGTGATGTCTCTACTCTTTACTATTTTATCGATCTGGACATTGCTCTCCTCCCAAGAAGTAAGCGTCTTCTGATTTCCTGGCTACAGTTTGCATCTGCAGTAATCTTTGCGCCTAGAAATACAAAGTCTGTCACGGCCTCCACATTTTCTCCCTCTATTTCCCAATTGTCAATCATTCTTGTTGCCATAATCTTGGTTTTTTTGATGTTTAGCTGCAACCCAGCTTTTGCGCTTTCTTCTTTCACCTTGATTAGAAGGCTCCTCAGCTCCTCCTCGCTTTCGAAAATCCAAAATCATACTACATATTTTTGACAGTAATATGGAAATCTGAAATATATTCAGAAAGTGTTTATGCATCCTGCGGCTCCTCCATGAAGACACGAGGGCAACAGTTTTGGACAACAATGGCTCCCAAAGTGATTTAAGGTGGAATCAGGTGTCAAACAGGCAGGGGCGGCTCATCCATTACGCGAAGTAAGCGGTTGCAGAACACTTTTTTTTGCCAGGGGTGCAGAAGCGCCTCTGTAAATGCCCCTCGATTGCCACTTGAGGAGCGCCCCCTCCGCTCACAACAGCGAGCAGAGCCGGCGCTCAATCATTCTCCGCTTTCGATCCCTTCCCCATAACTGGCTCCCTTTCCCAATCCTCCAGCGCTCCACCCGCCTCCTCTCCTCTCCCCAATCCGCGGATGGGCCAATGGGCGGAGCCACCACGCCTGGCCTGCTTTGGGTCTGGTGGCGTGTCTGAAGACCCCAGCGTGCGCACCAAAAGTCGCCTCTTCTCCTGACTTTCTCTTCAGCCATTGGGACCAAGAGAGAGAGAGAGAGAGAGAGAGAGAGCCCCTCCGGCTGGAGGTATCTCCCACCTCCGCTCCCTCCTTTGTTTTTGCGCCTACCTTCAGAAAAGGTGGGCATCTCCACCTCTCTCTCTCTCTCTCTCTCTCTTGGTCCCAATGGCTGAGGAGAAAGTCAGGAGAAGAGGTGACTTTTGGTGCACACGCCGGGGTCTTCAGGCACACCTCCGGACCCAAAGCGGGCCAGGCAAGGGAGCAAGTGCGGCAAGTGTAGTTACTGGGATGTATAGTTCACCTGCAATCAAAGAGCATTCTGAACGCCACCAATCATGGAACTGACCCAAATATGGCACACAGAACTCCCACGACAAACAAAAATATATATCGTATTGTCGAAGGCTTTCATGGCTGGAATCACTAGGTTCTTGTGGGTTTTTTCGGGCTATAGAGCCATGTCCTAGAGGCATTTCTCCTGACGTTTCGCCTGCATCTATGGCAAGCATCCTCAGAGGTTGTGAGGTCTGTTGGAAGTAGGAAAAATGGTTTATATATCTGTGGAATGGCTGGGGTGGGGCAAGGAGCTCTTTCCTGCTGCAGTTAGGTGTGAATGTTTAGCTGATCACCTTCATTAGCATTTGAAGGCCTGCCTGAGCCTGGGAAAATCTGTTGCTGGGAGGTGTTAATCTGTGCCTGGTTTTTTCCTCTCTGTTGTTTAGCTGTTATAATTTTGAGTTTTTTAATACTGGTAGCCAGATTTTGTTCATAAATATATATCAATGATTGGTTGGGGGGGGGGGCAAAATACTGTTTCCTTACCATTAAAATAATATAGTTGGCCCCACAAAATAATATAGTGGGTTAAATCACTGGGCTGCTAAAGTTGTTGACCAAAAGGTCATAGTTTCAAATTTGGGGAGCAGGGCGAGCTCCCGCTGTTAGCCCCTGCTTCTGCCAACCCAACAGTTCGAAAACATGCAAATGTGAGTAGATCAATAGGTACCACTCTGGCGGGAAGGTAACGGTGCTCCATGCAGTCATGCAGGCCACATGACCTTGGCGGTGTCTATGGACAATGCCGGCTCTTTGGCTGAGAAATGGAGATGAGCACCAACCCCAGAGACTGATATGTCTCGAATAAATATCAGGGGGAAACTTTTACCTTTATCTTTACTATTAACGATACTAACTTTAACAGGCTTCGGTCTACTCACCTCAGGGCAACTCTAGCTTTGGCCCACTGACTCTGGCAGGCTTTGGCCTACTCGTTCTCCTGAGGGGCACACTAGCTTTGGCCCACTCTGACGGGCTTCAGCCTACTCACTCTCTTCAGGGCGACTCTAGCTTTGGCCCAATGACTGACAGGCTTCAGCCTACTCACTCTCCTCAGGACGACGCTAGTTTTGGCCCACTGACTCTAGCAGGCTTCGGCCTACTCACTCTCCTCAGGACGACACTAGCTTTGGCCCAATGACTCTAGCAGCCTTCGGCCTACTCACTCTCCTGAGGGGCACACTAGCTTTGGCCCACTCTGACGGGCTTCGGCCTACTCACTCTCCTCAGGGCAATGCTAGCTTTGGCCCACTAACTCTAACAAGCTTTGGCCTACTAATTATCGTCAGGGACACACTAGCATTGGCCCACTAACTCTAACATGCTTCAGCCTACTCACTCTCCTCAGGACGACACTAGCTTTGGCCCAATGACTCTAACAGGCTTCAGCCTACTCACTCTCTTCAGGGCAACACTAGCTCCACTGACTCTAACAGGCTTTGGCCTACTCACTCTCCTCAGGGCAACACTAGCTTTGGCCCACTGACTCTAACAGGCTTCGGCCTACTCACTCTCCTCAGGACGACGCTAGCTTTGGCCCACTGACTCTAACAGGCTTCAGCCTACTCACTCTCCTCAGGGCAACACTAGCTTTGACCCACTAACCCTGACAGGCTTCGGCCTACTCACTCTCCTCGGCAACGCTAGCTTTGGCCCACTAACCCTGACAGGCTTCGGCCTACTCACTCTCCTCAGGACGACGCTAGCTTTGGCCCACTGACTCTAACAGGCTTCAGCCTACTCACTCTCCTCAGGGCAACACTAGCTTTGACCCACTGACTTTAGCAGGCTTCGGCCTACTCACTCTACTCACTCTCCTCTGACACTGACAGGCTTCAGCCTACTCACTCTCCTCAGGGCAACACTAGCTTTGACCCACTGACTTTAGCAGGCTTCGGCCTACTCACTCTACTCACTCTCCTCTGACACTGACAGGCTTTGGCCTACTCACTCTCCTCAGGACGACGCTAGTTTTGGCCCGCTGACTCTGACAGGCTTCGGCCTACTCACTCTCCTCAGGACGACGCTAGTTTTGGCCCGCTGACTCTGACAGGCTTCGGCCTACTCACTCTCCTCAGGACGACGCTAGTTTTGGCCCGCTGACTCTGACAGGCTTCGGCCTACTCACTCTCCTCAGGACGACGCTAGCTTTGGCCCGCTGACTCTGACAGGCTTCGGCCTACTCACTCTCCTCAGGACGACGCTAGTTTTGGCCCGCTGACTCTGACAGGCTTCGGCCTACTCACTCTCCTCAGGACGACGCTAGTTTTGGCCCGCTGACTCTGACAGGCTTCGGCCTACTCACTCTCCTCAGGACGACGCTAGTTTTGGCCCGCTGACTCTGACAGGCTTCGGCCTACTCACTCTCCTCAGGACGACGCTAGTTTTGGCCCGCTGACTC